GGGGGGTAGGGGAGGGGGGGGGGGGAACGGGATATTTTGGGGAAAAAATATAAATCATTCTACATGACTTGTCAACAAGTAACCCATGTTTGGACTCAATCAAACTTCTCATTATAAGATCTTCAACAAAGAAAACTTAGACTTTTGATTAAGCAGAATTTTCCTCTGTTCCTAGAAAGCATTTACTAGAAAGTCTGAGATGGATTTTAGGGCAGGAATAAATAGGGAGAAGGTGTGTTTTCAGTTTTAAATTGGAAGATGGGTAGTAGATGGCCTATAAAAACTGTAAATGAAAATTTAAAAACCACTCTTTGAAAAAGAAAAAGCAGTCCATAGGTAAATGAAAAATATGCCTTACCACAGACAATTTCAGAGGCAAAAATTCCTTGAGCATCTTCACTTTTTAAAATCTGTGTTTGTACAAACCCAAACATAATTTTCCAATAAGATGCGTGAGGCAGACAGAATGAAAATTTGTCATTGTAGCGAACAGCAGGAAGATGTACTTCAGTAAGCATGGAATTACAGTTTGCTTAAAGACTGAAAATTAAGTGTTATGCATCTTTCCCTTAAGAAAAGTCTCCAATGAAGTCTTCAGTAACCTAACTTTACTTTTTCAAACACACAATATCCACCATAGGTTTGCAATAAATTGAGTCAACTTGTATTTGGTATAAGACAGGGTGAGATAAAAGTACAACACATAAACACGCTACCTTTTCACAAAATCCTTTAGGTTGGAAGGAACCTTTTGGGATCATCTAGTCCAACACCTCTGTTACAGCAGGGTCAGCTAGAGCAGGTGGTTCCAGACTCTACAGTCTCTCTGGGCAACCTGTTCCAGTGTTTGACCACCCTCACAATAAAAAAGTGTTTTCTTGTGTTCAGATGGAATTTCATGTATTTTAAGTTGTCCCCATTTTCTCCTGTCCTGTCACTGGGCAATACTGAAAAGATTCTGGCTCCCTCATCTTCGTTACCTCCCATCAGGTATTTATACATATTGGTAAGATCCCCTGGAGCCTTCTCTTCTCCAGGCTGAAGAGCCCCAGCTCTCTCAGCCTCTCCTCATATGAAGACGCTCCTGTCCCTCAAACATCTTTGTGGTCCTGCGCCTGACTCGCTCCGGTAAGTCACTACCTTTCTTGTACTGGGGAGCCCAGAACTGGACACAGTATTCCAGATGCAGCCTTGCCAGTGCTGAATAGGGAGGAAGGATCACCTCCCTCAACCTGCTGATATTAGAATGTTTTTTGATGCCTCCTGAATTCTGAATGAAACTTCCATTCATTTATGACTACTTTCAGAAGTCAATTTTCTTCCTTAGGAAAAAGAATGCACAAAGTGACTTGCTTTTATGTTACATTACCCATGTTTGGGTATCTATCCTTAGCTCCTTGGAAATGTGTTGTTCCTGCTCTGTATTGTAAAGCAGTTCTGAAAAATTCTGCTTGATGCAAAAGCAATTATTCTTTCCAAGTAACTAGTACCAAGCTTTAAGCTGAAACTTGTAAATCTTCTGATTATAATTAGTTTTAAAAGGCTGTTCAAAGTTTATGCTAATTACATTAGTCACATTTATATAATAATGGGCATTAACATGGTGCTTTTCCTCTGTGGACTTCCAGAAAGCAAATATAAAGTAAACCTTGAACCTGCAAAGCCTCAGTGCGTGCTAAGCATCATGCATGGTGACTATCCTGTTGACTTTTTAACAGCATGTTGAGCACATGCAGAATTGAAACCCATATTTACAAAAGTTGTTTCACAAATGTAGAGGTGAAGAGACTTGATTTTTTTTTTTTTCAGCTAAACCTTAAAATTCTGAGTTATAAATCCAATCTAGTAACGTTTTAACTAATGCTGGTGAGGCAGCCTTGCTGTGGGAGATGACACAGCACTACTGTACCTACACAAGAACTAAGGTCATTTTGAATATGTTCATACTTAAACACACCTCCTGCTCTGAGCTTTACACAACTGTTGTTAGCATGGTCAGACCCAGGTTAATAACATGATATTAAATCCTAACTCCCTTTCAAAAGACTAAACCACCATTGTAGTGTAAATACTCTTAACCAAACTGTTCTGCTAAACTTTAAAAGAAATCATATATTTATAATCAAAACTAAATAACATGGGGATTTTCAAATGTAGCAGTTAAATTAGGAATCCTACTTACCGACTACAAAAATTATGTTTGATTTCCTCAGATCTTCTGAAAAGTCTAAAATGAAAATAAAAATTCTTTAGTTGGCAAGAGCTACTAATTTTAATCTTAGCTACTTTCCACGCTGAATTGTGTAATACTTATGCAAGGTCATCTGATTTTACTAGTTTACTTTCCGCTATAATGGTCTGCATTCCAAAAGGAGCTATTATCCACAAGCCTATTTATCTCCCAGTTTCGTAGTTCTCCCTGCAGATACGATAAAAATATTTTACCTGAAAATCAGACCTTGCACATACCCATCAGTTCTTTAAGAAAGAGAAAGATAAGACAAAAAAAAAAGCAGAATCATCTTGATGTAATAACGTGCCTCCTGAGCCATTGCATTTTTCTCTGAATATGTTATTACATTCTAATTGCTATAGAAGATTGTCCACATCCCATTCAGATTTTTATACTCGGTCCACTACATCTGAGATGTAGTCTTAAATTCCCCTGAGCCTCGAATTCAGCCAAAAAATAATAATCTCAAATGAAATCCTGATATTACTCTCATTTTAGCACCAAACTACTGTATGAACTACAGCTTTGCCTTTTACCGAAATTGTGGGTTTTTTTAAAAAAAGCAGTTCCTTCTAGTCTGAGTCCCAGTCATTGCCCTGATTATACCAGTACAGAAGGCGATCTTGCACCATCTGAGATTGCTGGAATTTTATTATATCTTGTCAAGATATAATAATGTGACAAGACACATTCATTTACCACATACAGCTTTCTTTTTTATTATGTGGCGTGTACATCTCTTATTACATATTATTATTAGCCGTAAAAGATTTTGACTAATCCTTTCATTCTTCTTAGACTCTTAGCAGCTCATACTTTCCAATAAGCTTTTCATAACTACCAATTTCTGAAAACACCTATGAGAGCTGACGCTGATTAACAATAGTATTTTCTAATAATTTTTGATCCACTGGCCTAAAGAGTGTAGAAATGTCTTTTACAAGCTTTAATTTGCATTCAAAGAGAATTCACATGATAAAATCCTTTGAGACGTAACTTTCACAATATAAATAACCTGAATTCACTTTACCTTCTAAGTAACTACTTAAATACAAGCTGAAATCAATGGTTTCAAAATTAAATGGCAAATGATACTGAAAAAGAAACTCACCTCCTGTGCTGTCATAACCAGAAAAACTTGACTGATCTTCCTCCTGTTAATTGAGCAATTGACAAATTAAAATGGATATTCTGCATAGTTTACATTTCTTCTTATATCTGCTTATACGTATATCTTAATATCTTCTCCATATTCTAACCTCTCGGTTTTAATCTATGTTGAGATATGGTTAACAATGTCACAGAAATGCTGTTAGTACTGTTTCAGTTGGTAGAACGTGAGCATGGAGAGCCCAAGACAGCTTGAGATGATTAACTGGGCCATATTGTTTTGGTGAGGAACCGCTTTTTCAGTGTCCAACTGCACAGTTCCAGCACGATACCTAAGCAACCAGTGTGCATGCTGAATTGCTTCTGAAGTAAATATGGTATGATAAGCTGTTAGTAGCGGAAAGGCAATACTGGAGTGAGTTCTAGAAGTAAGCTACAATATAAAGATGAAATTAGTCTTTGGTCTAAAACAACTTGAATGTGTTTACCTTCAGAATGCAACACAAGTTACAAGTTGTTACAGAGGCTGCTGAACTATGAAGAGGGATTACACCAAGAAAATGGGGAACTTGGCATGTTTTTTTTCCTGATACTTGGCCACTTAGAATTATTTTGTCACGTACTGTATAGTACAACCAATGAGGAATCACAAATACTGGCCAGCAAGAGTGTCAGAGTGGGACTTCTTTGCTGTTATAAATCAGAATTATATATGTGCTGGACATAGTCTAGGTTATGTAGTGTCAATATACTCACACCATCAGTGCTTTAGTCTAGTCTATAAAATATCAGTAACGGCATTGACAGTAACACGCTCGTATTACATCATCAGTGCGTAATCAGCATGGAATACATTATGCTAGTCCTCTCAAAATAGCATAGGGTTCTCAAGCTGTAGTTTCTTACAGTTCTGCTTCAGTATGCTGTCAGAAATGGCCACTGTTAGAAATTTGTATAGCTGCATGAATAGATGAAGTGAAACGAACAGCGTGGTGAATAGAACGGGTAAACAGAAATACTCTTCATTAGGCTGAAGTACCGTTACACTGGCTACATAGAATATTTTCATTTTTTGATTCACAGTAATTCTCAGCCTATTACAGTGCAGCAGGAGAACTGCCATCTTAAAAAAAAAAAAAAAAAAAGGAAAAAATTAAAAAAACAAATGGGAGTATTTCAGGGAAAAAAAACATTTTCAAATAAGAGATTAATCTCTTTCCTACAATTCAAGTGACAGTATTAACCTTACATGCTTTGTCTTTGATGTAATAACACAACAAAATATTTGACCCTGCAAAGGGTCATACAAAAGGCCTGGTTTTAGATGCAGCTTCCTATCGTGCCTTTGAAGGTTTATGGATCAAAATCATTTTAGGCACAAAGTTTAGAGTAAAGTTTCTTTAAAATCAAGATCACAGTTGCAAGTTTACAATCAAATGAAAGAGGCATTACTTCTTTCAAGTATCGCTTTGGTCTCCCCTACAACTGCAGAATGAAACTGCCTCTGTAACGCTGGTGGGCTGCTCAGAGCAGCAGGTGATAATAGAGGTCAGTTTAAGTCAGGAACAGCTCTAATTTTTTAGAGCTGAAATATGTAAAAAAACTAGAGACAACTGAAGCTAAATAAGCTATCAGCTGCTTTTATTTGACCAACCATATCTGCTTTAATAGAACAACAGGTTAACTAACCAACAAGCCATGTTCACGTAAGGAACAAGTGCTATGAAAAGCCATTAAAGTGAATTCTAATTACAACTCAAAAGCAGGTAAACAGGAACTGTGACATTGATCAGAACCCAGAACATCAAAATAATGAATTCTGTCTACATCTGTAACTGCTCACTTTTCAGGTGCAGAAATACTGTTTTCAAAAGAATTGTGCTTTCTTGACTTTTTCTTTCCCAAAGGGCATCTGTTTCATAACTCTACGACAACTCGGCACACAGCTTGATGTGAGTGGGACCACCAGCCCTGCTGAACTTCCATGACAAAATAAGCTTCCCCATGTTTCAGAGAATAAGTTATTCCATAAAAACATTTTTTTCAGACATAATTGAACAGCACCCAGCTGGGGTGGAAAGAGGTCCTGAAAGCCTGGTCTCTAGGGGAGCTGTAAGAAAAGTCAGGAGGAACAAATTAGAACAGTTGGGCTACAGTTAATTTGGTTTTGATGACAAGGTATTCCTACACAGTTTTCACTATTCTGTACTTAAACTTGACTTAGAACCATTTCCCTTCACGCCTTTCCTCCCACTCTCCTCAACAGTACAACCAGTTTTTCTGCTGATCTGGATGAGGAGCTAGATTTGCTGTTTGGCTTGCAGTCCCTTGTAGAAAGAGACTGGCATCCTGGTTAATGCCAGTCCCCTCATATTTACCTTTGACAATATCTATTTCTAATTGTGTCTTTCTGGTAAGTAGGTCTCTAAACGGTGAATGGCTTAACCTATATTGGCCTGAAAGCCTTGTTCTGCCTGGTTACCAAAGTGCTTTGGACAATAACTGTTGGATTTAGCAAGTGATCACATGAGGAAAAGTCTAACCAATTACTAGATTGCTAATAGCATTTTACACCACATTGCCATCAGGAATACAGTGATTTAGCAGCAGAACAGTCTCTGTATTCTCAGTATAGCTGTTTCCATTTAGTTGAAAGCAAGGTGAGGAAGATTATAATCTTGTATGTAATGAGCTCTGAAGAAAGGTGGGTAGTCTGTAATTTCATATGCCTTTAGAGCCAGGTTATATCTACAAATATTATCTGGAAACATGTCAATTAGTGGGGCATAGCTGACCTTGTAACTGCTTAAACAATATCAACGGCACATTAAAATGATTGCTAAAGCGAGAAGTTTGCTACCTGTAAAGAATCTCTTCTCTGACATTTGCATTTAGAGTTGGAAAATGCAGGCTTCTGACTGTATTCTGACTTCTTGTCATTTAGCTCATTATTAGTAAATATCTGACTAGTAGTAGGTACTTCATAGGTTAATGAGTTTAAGTTACTGCCTGTCATTGCTAGATTGTGAAGTAATTTCTATAATAGACAGTAAATCATAGCATAGAATAAGGAAATGATACAAAATTCTCCAGATCTTTGAGTTTTGCTATTAATGTATTAGGACTCTTAAGTCATATCACTTTAAAGAAAGCAATAAAATACTTTTCACTTTTTTTTTTAAATCTAATGATGGGACGTTTTCGTCATTGGGATGTAACGACAACTGTTGTGAATGTTTGTTACCTGATGCAATGAGAAAGCTTTTCTGTTATCCATTAATAACCTCTGCTCCAGTCCTTGGGTTTGTTTTGAGGTTTTTTGGGGTTTTTTTGGTGTGGTTTTTTTTTTTTTGTAGCATGGAAAAGAAAAAAAGTTTTCATCACCTTGTTGTTGCTCTAATGCTTCAGGAAAATAGTGGTGAAAAGTGCCTGATACGTTTTATTCAGACTTCTAACAGATATAACAAGAGTTCCTCCTAGAAATTTACTGAAGAGGATAAATAATCACGGATTAAGAAGAAAAGAGGCAGTTGAGCAAGGCTTTAAAATACAGCATGACTGTTGCCTAAAATTATGCTCAATTTTCAAGATTGAATTTTTACATTCTCAAATTCAAAGGAACGTGTCAGGCACAAATTACATAAACAAATAAAAACTCCATATTTCTCTGCCTAAAAATATTTGTTGTGAATTGAACTTAATGTGTAAGCAAAAATAAGCAGTATAGACAAACATAACTTTAATACAGAATGACATAATGTATACAGTAGAAAGTACAGGCAAGAACTGACTATGTAGATTTATCACAGTGATCTCATCAGCATCCCTTTGATGGGAATGTAGGTGTATAACCATCGATTTCTCAGCACACTGTAGTTGTACAATTCTCCCTTTGCTGTTGTTAGGTATGCAAAATACTTGTACTCCCGTAGCATTTTATTTCTTCAAAGAACACTACAGTTCCACATAAATCTTCCCTCTACTTCCTTTGGGAATAGAGGCAAGGGCATTATTTCCATTTTAGCAGAGATATTAGATGATTTGTCGATGTAAACACAGTTATATATGGAAGCAGAACTAGGTTTAGGACTTGGATTTCCACTTTCACCTCTTTAGCCTATAGTATATTTACTTTGAATTCTTAGTCCTTAATAAAGCAACGCTTCTACATCCAGTACCCTTAGAATCAACTTTAGCTCTCAATTAAATAAACTCTCTCACTGACTAAGAATAGTTTAGGGAATCAGAAGGCAGTATGAGACATCTGCATATATAATTTGTCTGCTTCAGCACAGTCCAGTCTGTCATAATCTGTGTGGTTTTAGAGTTTGACATGTGTTTGCAACTGGATTTAATAGGCATATACCTAATCACAGAGGATGGTCTTTCAGATTCAATGTATGCCGCCTCTGTTTATAAAAATGTAGTTATCACTGAGTGCTGTCCTTACATATATTGCAAAACGTAAAGACCCTGAGCAAGCTTTAGCTAGGCAAAGTTAAGCATCAGAAGAAATTGGGGCTAGTCAGAGATCAGCTGTGGAATTTGTCTTTTAAATTCCTGTTTTCTTCCTGTAAGAGCAAATGCTTGGTTTTTATGAGATATGCTGGGTTAGCTGCAGGTTTTATGTATGGGCAATGGTCCCTGGGAACGGATTTTATGAGCCATACAGTTGCTCGCCATTAAATTTGATTTATGATTCAAATCACTTTTTGACGCTGAGCTGCTTTCTGCAAGCTGAGTGTTAAAGTATGCCTCTGGAAAGCAGGAGTGGCTGTGCTCTGACCACCTCTGCTCCAGAACTAATGATTTATGTGTAAATAAGGTAAGAAACAGTATGAATACATTCAGACTTCAAGGCTTTTCTTTCCCCGAAAGGCATATCTTCTTATATGGTTCATACTGCTCAGCAGAGTGGAGTTATTTGTGTCAAAAGGGGCTAATAGTAATTAAGATGAGAGAACAGTGCTAATGTTATTTGAGGTGACTTTTGTTTGTTTGGAGCGCATACAACTAGAAAGTGCAAAAAAATCAGTGTTTGTAA